TATGATGTCAAAAAAGGTAATGTTTATATTTTCAATATATTTATAATACTTACTTAATTGTTGTTTTTATTTTATGAAAGACATATTGCAACGTTTTTTTTACATAAAAGTTTTTATAGAAAATGTTTAATAATGTTAATATAAGTTAAATAATAATAAAAATAAAAATTGTAATTGATTCTACTTTAATTTTTACGAATTTATATATATTAATTTTTACAATTTATAAATTTAAAAAAATTTGCGGGAATGGATGATAAATGTCGGACCAATCACAAACCGGGGAGAAGGTTGCCAGACTCTTATTAGAGGGTCACTAGCCAACTCGTCACGTGACTATGGGTGATTCTGATTGGCTGGGGTATGGATCGCACATCTGCGTTCCATGAACATGTACTATAACCTATTCTAATAGAATACGCGTACATGACAGATGACACATGTGTTGCTGTCAGCTTGTGTTGCTTACTGACTAGTAAGTTAATTTATCACATAAAATTAAACGTAATAAAAATAAATCGTTTATCACGTAAAATTTTGAGAAAGTTAATGTACATATATCACGAATAAGCTTCGAATTAATAAACGCTTCATAGTTAAAAATAAGAGAGTAATACGAAAGTTAGAGATACCTATTTCATTAATAATGTAATTCTCTTGTAAGTTTTGATTTTATACATTTTGGAGATGATACATATATGTTGTACAGCGAAATGTTTCAATAAATCCAGTGATGGATACATGTTATTCAGATTTCCTCAAGGAAGATCAATATCGGAAAGCATGGATAGATGCTGTTTTTGGCGAGAATGCAAGATCCATAGATAATCTGAGATTGTGCGAAGTGAGTATTCATCGTAAGAATACTATGCATCCGAATAAATATAGTTTAAAAAGTGCTTCTCCATTTAATGCTTTCCTCATTTCAGGTTCACTTTGGGCGATTAGATATATTGGTGGTAGGTCGCCGGAAAGAAGTAAAAAAAGGTGCGATCCCATCATGTTTTTGTCATTGTCCCTCAGAAAATATTTGTAAATCGCAAGCAAGAATATTAGATAATTTTGCAACATTTTTCATGATACGGTTAGTTACAGAACAAGCTACGTTTTTTATTGAAATACAACAACGCTCACATGTATCAACTGCTTGACAAATATGACTATCAGACATTCTTCTTATTTTAACATTATGCACATTAACTTCATCTTTCTTCTGCTTTCTTGTTTGCGATTTACAAAAATTCTCAGAGGGACAATGACAAAAACGTGATGGGATGGCACCTTTTTTTACTTCTTTCCGGTGACTTACCACCAATATATCTAATGGCCTGAAATGAAGAAAGCATTAAATGGAGAAGCATTTTTTAAACTATTTTTATTCGGATCCTGCATAGTATTCTTACTGCTGGTTTGTGTAATTTAAACCGTTGTTCTTTAAATATTTTTGTAGAAGTTACTAGCGTTACTAGAGTTATGTTCTATAAGCAGAAGTTTGCAAGCATGAAACAAAAGGTAATTTGATTGGAACTTAGTAACAGCACTTTCTTTTGTGTGTGATCGGCTTTTGTTAGATAGACTATCATCCCGATTTCTGTAGACGCATTATAAATTAAGAATACTGTTTGTATTGTATGTTGATTGCTTATAATATCAGAAGGTAATGTAATAATCACGACTCTAACGTATGATATACTGAAATATGTATATTCGAAATATATTACTGTTTCCACCGAATTGCCACCGTCGCAACTTCTATATTTTAACACTTACAATGAACACTCACTTCGCACAATCTCAGATTATCTATGGATCTTGCATTCTCGTCAAAAATAGTATCTATCCATGCTTTCCGATATTGATCTTCCTTGAGGAAATCTGAATAACATATATCCATCACTGGATTTATTGAAACATTTCGCTGCACAACATATATGTAGCATCTCCAAAATGTATAAAATCAAACCTTACAAGAGAATTACATTATTAATGAAATAGGTATCTCTAACTTTCGTATTACTTTCTTATTTTTAACTATGAAGCGTTTATTAATTCGAAGCTTATTCGTGATATATGTACATTACCTTTCTCAAAATTTTACGTGATAAACGATTTATTTTTATTACGTTTAATTTTATGTGATAAATTAACTTACTAATCAGTAAGCAACACAAGCTGACAGCAACACATGTGTCATCTGTCATGTACGCGTATTCTATTAGAATAGGTTATAGTACATGTTCATGGAACGCAGATGTGCGATCCATACCCCAGCCAATCAGAATCACCCATAGTCACGTGACGAGTTGGCGAGTCTCTCCTTTTTTAGGGTCTCTAGTAGGCATATATGTAATACTACTATATGGCTAGTGCCTATAAGAGGGAGTGAGAGGAAGCGGTCCCAGAACCACGGTGCGGGAATATATATTTCCCTCTCTTTCTAAGATTACTTTGAGTGTTGTGCGCATGCGTTGGATTGATCGCATCTGCCAATAGGAAAATAGAGTGCGATCAGTGAGATGACGCGAACAGGTTATGCTCGTTATGCTTATTAGATGTGTGCTGTACACAGGCAAAATGGTCAAGATATGTTATTTATGTGGCCAAAAGCCTAATGCGACTGAAAACATTAGTTTGCACAGGTATGAAATAGGTATTAGTTTGCACTGATTATCATGAAATTTCTGTAAGGGATTGCACTGTATTCTTATACACATAATGACAATTTTGAAAAAGTTTATTTCATAAAATTAGGATTAATTTATTTATTCCGACAAAACTGACTCTTTTAACTGTAACAAGATTATATCCTGACGCGGAATCAATCACTTTTTCCTTCTTCCTTACACATATATGTATATTTATCCTTCTATTTATCATTGATGGAGGGGATGAATTCGACGCATGCGCACAACGTTCAAAGTACCCTGAGAAAGAGAGAGAAGTATATTCCCGCACCGTGGTTCTGAGACATGGACTTCTCTCTCATCTAGCTATATAGTAGTATTACATATATGCTAGTAGGAGCGTAACATAAAGTTTCACGCACTTTTCATGAAGTGTTCAGAAAGTGTAAATTAAGAATAAAAGATAGGTTAATCTTTGGAACGTTAAAAAATCGTAACGCCACGTTTCATGCACTTTTCATGAAGTGTTCGGGAAGTGTAAACCAAGAGTAGAAAATACCAATACTTGGAGCGTAGAATTAGAGTAACGGCGACGTTCCATCCACTTTTCATCAAGTGTTCGGGAAGTGTAAGTCAAGAGTAGAAAAATTTTAATCACTACAGCTTAGAAGGAGCGTAATACAACGTTCCATAAACATTTCACGAAGTGTTAGGGAAGTATAAACCAAGAGTAAAAAATGCCAATCCTTGGAGCGTAGAAGTAGCGTAACGCAACGTTCTACCCACTTTTCATGAAGTGTTCGGGAAGTGTAAATCAAGAGTAGAAAAATTTTAATCGCTACAGCGTAGAAGGAGTGTAAGGTAACGTTCCATACACGTTCAAAGGAGAGTTAATGAAGCGTGTGGCAAGCGTATTCAAACGTTCTAAAAATCGGAGCGTCAGGAAGCGTTAAGCGAGCGTCACTATAAGGGTGCCGTCACATGCAGCGTAACTTGCGTAAGCGTAGCGTAAGCGTAACTTGCACCGACCAATCATATCGTTTCACATGAACATCAGTTTCTGCCTAGTTACTTTACGAAATTTTACGCTGTTTTACGCGTACGATAGAGTCGATAGACGTACCGGTTACACCCAGTTACACCTTACACCCCGACGAACCACTCGACCTTTACGGACGCGTTTCGGTTCGGGTGCTTTCCATTGTATATTTTTAAAAGTATTGCCGACTTCGACTGTGCATCGCACCACACAGCTGCGTGTCCGCGGATGAGCTCGTCTCGATTATTCATCATTTTACACCTTTTGCATTGTCTGGAGGCGGGAGCTATTATTAAGAAGAAGAAGGCTGTATGCTTCCTAATTTACATATATATACACGTATACATTTCATTAAGCTCACATTATTTTTTATTATAGTTTATATATTTTTACAATTTGAATATTAATTTCGCACACACACACACACACACA